AGCTACCTAAGTAGGTGAAACATTCCACTACAACTAACTCATCAAGCATCAGCGCTGGTGTAGACGACACCCAGTCTTTTAGCATCGCTTTGCACTTTGAAGGTACAAAGCGCATGCGGAAAAGAGTTACAGAACTTGCTAGTCTGCCAAGAGCGCTTTGCGCATTCTCCATACACTCGAACAGGCAAACGATATCGTCAGCGTACTCTAAATCGCATAGCTTTTCCCAGCTGCCCATTCAATACCTACCTTTTAGAGACCACTGAGTGCGTTCTCCAGTATTTCGTCTACGACGAAATTGAACAAGAATGGCAAAACATGGCTCCTTGACGGATCTCGCTCCTGGTTTCGAATGATTTACTTACCCCACCACAGACCCTTACGCTACAAGAAGTATGCAGGTACAGCGACCGCAATAAGTGTACATACTCCGCGGCATTCCTTTGCGGAGCAGCGACCCCAGAAGAGCTTCACGATCAACTGAATCGAAGGCTCCTTTTAGGTCAAGGAACACTGCGATTGTTGGCCCACGATGTGTGACGCAGTTCGAGGACTTGACGCAGAGTAAAGATTCGGTCGATGCACGCGCAACGTGGTCGGGATCCGGCTTGCTGTTCGTGGATATTCATCGCCCTAAGGGTGTCAGGCGGCGAAGTATCACAGAAGTCAACAATTTCGTGATTATCGGAACTAAACTAATCCCACGGTGGTTAGCGCAGTCGTTGAGTGGTCCCTTCTTGAAAATCGGGACGATCAACGGTTCACCCCAGGAGAAAGGGCTACGCTCCTCCGTTCAAATGCTGCGAAGTAAGCTAGTAATTGAGTCGACAAGAGAATCTCCGCCGACCTTGAAAATAATAAGGAGAAGCCCATCAGGTCCAGCAGCCTTTCTTTTCTTTAATGATGGAATGCAGCTTAGTACTTCCGATTCTAATGGGGGCTCGCATCTTACCACCTATGGAGTCTCCGCCGCAATCGCTGGAATGACCACATTAGCACTAGGCCAATTGAACTGTTCACTAAAATGCTCTGCCCAGCGATCAAGTCGTTCTTTATTGTGGACGCTTTGTTCACTTTTATGGTGAATGTTCTCACTGACCGGTATGCGACAACCTCCGGTGCTGCTTATCAGGTGAAATAGCCTTTGACTATTCCGTGATGCAGAAGCTACCTCCATTTCACCAGCTATTTCGGCCCACGAATTTTCACGATCTTTCTTAGGGCTATTTCTGAGTTGACGTGGCAGACGACACCGGTCCTTATGCTGATCCTGGCAGATTGGGATTTTTCGCTTTTGATCCATTAGGATTACTGACTCCTGAGAGATCTAATGCCCTCG